ATCCCTGTATTTTATGAACATTGGCAGGTAGGGAGGGGTGGGTTCTTGGGGTTTTCTTTTCATCCCTTCGATGACAGCAAGAGGATCTCCAATGAATCTTTACTTTTAAATCTTTCTCTCAATTTACTTCCTCATAACATCTGAAATGGCGGTCCGCTATCATTCTTGAAATCTCCTTCCCTTCACTCTCTCTATCGTTTCTACTACCTTTCTTATCATGCGGTCTCTGCCATTGGCTCCTGTACTTCTACTAACACTGAGTAGTTCATGATTAGTCCAGCTTTTCCTTGAATTCTACACACAACTGCCTGTCCCCTGGGTGATTTCTTTCATATTCACAGCTAATTCAGTCACTGCCTACATCAGTTTCCCATTGGCCATCCTCTCTCGTTAATCAGCAGGTACATGACAAACATGTCCAAGAACTAAACAACATCTCCGCCCAAACCAGCTACTCCTTCTGTGTTTCCTCTCTAGTATAAGAAATAATTATGGGACGTTTGCGACTATCTCAAAATTTGGCTGGAGTGAGGCCCCCAAGTTGAAACCTACAAATGATAAATTCCCCTGGATTTCAAAAAGAACTTCAAGACATCCATGAAAGACTTACTAAAAAGCATCCTTATTAGGTACCTCCTGCCTGTCAGGAAGGAAGGAAGGAGGGAGGGAGGGACGGAAGAAGGGAGAGGAGGAAAAAAGAAAAGGAAAGATTAGATTAGAAACAGAAGAGAAATTAGTAACCATAGAAAATATGATCTTTGAGAAAGACAGGGGTCTCCACAAAAACCTCTGGGATAGACTGGGTGATAACAGCAAAAAGAAATTGACATTTGTTTCTTGGGCTGGCAACTTAATAAGCTAAAGAAACTCTTAAGCCTATCTCCGTCTAGCCACCATAACTGAAAGCAGTGCGTGTTCTTGGGAGAATCTGACACATATCCCCAGGAGCTTAGAGAGCATGTGAGTACAAAAACTAGTTCCAGCCTGGAAAATCCTGAACACAAGGTAGATGGAGCTGTCACCATGGCAAGGCAAGGACAGAGGACAATAGGTAGGCAAACTGCACTTCCACCACGGAATTCTGTAAGTCTCCCTCTGGCAACTACACGCTGAGAAGGGCTAGGTTTCTCGATGGAACTCTACCAAAGACATGAGCCCCTTTTAGAGTAAAGGCACTCAGCAGTAACATGGCACAACCCAAGTCAAGGATGACAGGAAAAGCGACTTCTTACTTGTATGCCATCAGGTATAACTAACATGCCGGTCAGATTAGTCCAGTGCCCACATCTACCCTGCTATTCAAGGGAGAAATTTGGAATCATCCTACATCCTCTACCTCCCTAAGATCCTGATGTCAGGTCATTATGTCTTAAACCTCTTTCGGTGCCAACAGATGGCGTGGTGGTTCTGGAGCTGGATTCCCACAATAGCTGGCTGTGGTTCGAGTCCCAGACCTGATGGCTCGCTTTCTCACCCCTTTCCCCCATCTCTCTCTGGTGAGTGCACATGCTCTACAGCAAATTAAATAATAATAATAAAGTAATTGATTTAATTTCATTAAAAAAACAAAAAAAAAAAACAAAGAAAAACCCTCTTTCAACACCTCTCCTTCCTCTGAACTTCTTAGCTACTAGTATAGCTCAAATCTGAAGTGTTATAATAATCTAACTTAGTGATTCTCTATTCTGGTCTAAACGTTAGAATTTAAAATATCACATCTAACGCCTAGGTCCCAGCCCAGAGGTTTTGACTTCAGTGGGCTCAGATAGGGGTCAGCCTTTACTGCTGTCTAGAGGTCCCAAGGTGCTTCTAAAAGGCAGCATCCATGGCCGAGAATCACTATCCTAACTGGTGTCTCCCAGAATCCAGGCCTACCTTCCCCCGACTATCTTTTTTTTTTGAGAGATTTTCGCTATAGGGTGCGTGTGCTCGCCAGGCAGACAGAAAGAGACATAGAGACAGAAAGCGAGAAATCACCCCCCCAGAGGGGATGGTCACGCTGCAATCCCTTCTCCTCCATTCTTCTCTTGGGATCTTGGGCACACACACACACGCACACGCACCTGGCGTGAGCTTTAAGCCACCGGGTCCGGGACGCGAACCGCGGTCGACTACGTGGGAGTCCAGCAACCTGGATTCCCACAATAGCTGGCTGTGGTTCGAGTCCCAGACCTGATGGCTCGCTTTCTCACCCCTTTCCCCCATCTCTCTCTGGTGAGTGCACATGCTCTACAGCAAATTAAATAATAATAATAAAGTAATTGATTTAATTTCATTAAAAAAACAAACAAACAAAAAAAACAAAGAAAAACCCTCTTTCAACACCTCTCCTTCCTCTGAACTTCTTAGCTACTAGTATAGCTCAAATCTGAAGTGTTATAATAATCTAACTTAGTGATTCTCTATTCTGGTCTAAACGTTAGAATTTAAAATATCACATCTAACGCCTAGGTCCCAGCCCAGAGGTTTTGACTTCAGTGGGCTCAGATAGGGGTCAGCCTTTACTGCTGTCTAGAGGTCCCAAGGTGCTTCTAAAAGGCAGCATCCATGGCCGAGAATCACTATCCTAACTGGTGTCTCCCAGAATCCAGGCCTACCTTCCCCCGACTATCTTTTTTTTTTGAGAGATTTTCGCTATAGGGTGCGTGTGCTCGCCAGGCAGACAGAAAGAGACATAGAGACAGAAAGCGAGAAATCACCCCCCCAGAGGGGATGGTCACGCTGCAATCCCTTCTCCTCCATTCTTCTCTTGGGATCTTGGGCACACACACACACGCACACGCACCTGGCGTGAGCTTTAAGCCACCGGGTCCGGGACGCGAACCGCGGTCGACTACGTGGGAGTCCAGCAACATAGCTATTACGCCAACTGCTGGTTCCCTCCCCCAACTATCTTTCACAATGCCACAAGAGTCAACTTCTTTAAAATGCAAATGTCACATTATTTAGAGCAGCAGTTCTAGTTTTTTAAAACCCTGATATCAAGCCAAACTTCAGCCAAGTTAAAACAGAATCTCTGAAGATGAGAGTCAAGCATCAGCATTTATAAAAGCTCCCAAGGTGACTTCAAAGTATGAACAAGGATAAGAATCCCTGTTCTAGAAGCTATGGGAGTGGGGGTCTTTAGTACAGTAAAATCTGAACTTCTCTGAGGGTAATGAGATCCCGTCTCACCTTGGCACCCCGGGCTCTCACGCTACCCAAACACCACAGCTCCCTAAAAGGGCCTCACTCTGTACTTCAGTGTAAAGAATGACCTCATCTGGAAAGCCATTTCTGCTGGCCCAGCTAAATCCCACTCACCTATGCAGCTCGGACCTTTCAGAAACAGTCTCCTCCGTACAAACCCTCCCTGACACACACACAGCATAGCTCATCGACCCATCTGAGATGGTAATAGCTCTACAGTGTAATTTTAACATTTCATCCTCACTCCCTTATTGACCTCCAAAATTAAAAACCTATTTTGTTCATGCTTTTATCTTCAGTGCCTCCCTCTATACATAGCACACAGTAAGCACTCAAAAATCTGCTGAATTCATTCCATTTAGGTAAAACATTATCTGTATTATTCTGTAGTAAAATTCCAATTTAATGAAATGTCAGACATCATATTTATATATCATACTCAAGTGTCATAAAACAAAATGTGACAGCTAGACTTTTTTTTTTGGAGAGCTTTTTTTTTTTTTTAAAGGGCACATGCGCTCACCAGACAGACAGAGAGAGACAGAGAGACACAAAGTGAGAAATCACCCCCCAGGGGGGATGGCCATACCGCAATCCCTTCTCCTCCATTCTCCTCTCGGGATCTTGGGCACACACGCACATGCGCCCGGCGTGAGTTTAAGCCACCAGGTCCGGGACTTGAACCGTGTTCGACTACATGGTAGTCCAGCGACATAGCCATTATGCTAACTGCTGGTCCCAACAGCTAGACTTTTAAAAAAATGTAAGGCAGGCCGCCTATGGCCTGGTGGTTATATAAACTGAATTCTATATGGCTGATCTTGCAGTTCAAGTCCTGGACCAGTGGCTTGAGAAACACACCAGACATATGGGCATGCATGCTCAAAATCCTGAAAGGAGGGAGACAGAAAAGGGACTGCAGTGTGACCACTTCCCATGGGGAGCAAGGGTGCCTTCTTGTGCTCTCTCTCTCCCCCTAGTAAATGCACGCACCCTTTGGCAAATCAAAATAAATAAATAAGCTTTAAAAATTAAAAGCATAAGGTAAATATTTAATGTTTGTCCAATTTATAAACAGCAACAAATAAGGAAGAAGACAGGTACAAAGGGCAGTATGTTTCCAGGGTCACACCTTACAGGATAGTAATGCTTAGCTTTCCACCTGAATAATATAGCTTTAAAATAATCCTTTTCAAAATCTTATGTCAGTATATTGAAATTTGTGCTTTTGGAAAGTGAGCTAGACTACTCACTTGACCTAAGAGTAAAATGATAGGTACCCATGCCACCTTAAAATAGAAACAAATTATGAAAAGCTTTCACATGCTTTGAAGGAAATGCACTTAAGCTTCAAAAACACTGATAATAGGGTTACAGCAACTGATGGTGACTTCTAGTTCTCTGGATACTGTTACCCAGCAAAAGTTTACATCTCCATTACACAAAGTTACATTTAGTTTTATATTTATACATTCACTACTATGTGCTTTCCCTAAAACAATAATGTCGCTAGTAAAGTGAAGTGGAACTAAACACTTAGATAATGTACTTCATTTAAAAGATTCTTACTGTACCCAGATTCATATGGACCATGGGAATCATCTTAACATGCAGAATGATTACTAAGTTACTATGCGTTTAAAGTAAGTTTTTTTATCTGCCAAACATACTTGATTCCAAATAATCCAGTATCCACTCAATGTCTATTACTTGTTTGGGAATATATTACAACTGAAGTATCTGAAGTGACAAGTATGAAAATAAAGGCAACAACCACAATATTGGAATCTGTGGCTAATTTTTTTTTTTACCTTATTTGGTGATTTCAAAGGTGAGATGGCTATTTTATTTGGTGTCTGTGTTGTAGAATTTAAGGTTGAACCAATAACACCACTTTCAGTTATGGTTATAGTCTTCGATGGAGTTCCAGGAGTAGACTGTGAAAGAACCCTACCTGCAAATGAAAGGCAATACATCAGTTTGACTTTTTCAAAACTAGTACAAAAATGTATATGATTATCTATACCCATGAGGTCTGTAGTATATACAAGAGAACTTCAAAAAGTTCACAGGAAAATAGAATCAAAGTACGAGCTTATGTTGATGCCCAAATCAAAAACTAACCCCCAAAATCTTGAAATCCATGCATAATACTCATTTTCCAGGAACCTTTTGATGATCCCTCTCTGTTCGTTATTTCCTATGTATTCATATATGAACTTAAACACTTAAGTGAGTCTCTTATGACCTGTGGCGAACCTAAGCAGAAAGAAATGAAACAATGCTTCTTAATAATAAATGAAACAATGCTTCATAATATCAGTTTCCTCAAAGTCTACCAAAACAGCTCTGCTCATATCCTCATTAATATTGCTAAGTTCTATCTGTCAGAAAGCAGGGACAGCTAAGAAATGTGCCCTGTGTAACACAAGCTCCTAAGTCAGCACTTGAATCCAAGTCTTAAAATTTCAAGTATACTAGAGCTGTCCACCAACCTGAACCTCAACCATGAAGACACAATTTAAACCTGCACTTTGTTATAAAATAGAGAGTTACTGAACCTACTTGAACACGGTCAGGTTTTATAGCATCTGGTTTGGGACTGTCAAAAGGAAAAAATGTTTCTTTTACCTTCCCTAGCCTGATCCCACACTATGATCCCTTCTGGACAATACCCTTCAGGAACAACACAGAAAAAACTGCAGTGTGTACAGATTATTTGGGAAATTGGAACTCATACTACAACAAGTTGAAATACTACAAATTTTTATGCTAGTCAAGAAAGACAAAAACATGGCAGATCTCCAGTTCTTCAAAACTGTGTGATGGTCATTAGTGCCATTCACCAAGTGTCCTGATTCACCTCCATTCCGGGCGCATGGCAGGACTGCACCTGTGCTTCCTTCCCCACTCGCCACCCCATCGACTGCGGAGTTAGGTCGGGGTTATGTAACTGCTACTGCCTAGGAGTTCCAAAAAGATGTGTCTCATTGCTGGGCCAAAGCATTTACGGCTGTGCGAGCCGTCCCA